CAGGAAAATGAAAAGAAACTTTTGGTGTAATTTCAGACTGTTTATCAGATATCGACAAAGCTGTAACTATCTGTTGTTTCTTTTTTATTTTTCTTTCTTCAATTTTTTATGGTATTTAGAGAGGAAAAAAATAGTACTACAGCGGAGGGGAAAAAAGGAGCAGTGTTAAAACAATATAAAACAGAGGAGCGAGAGTGGGCAAATGTATTAAATGGTTGCGATTCTAGTACTCCCTTTCATTTCTTCAGCGTATTGTAGTGTTTAAAGATGGATCGTGTAGTTCACTAAAATTTTGCTGATTTAAAAGATGTTATAAACTCTTGTAAGCCTTTAAAAGACTCAAGTTTAACACTCTGCTGCATATTTACCTGAAGTGAGTGATCAATTTATCTTCCTCTCGTTACTAACTAGATTTTGGACGAGAATTGGGCTTGTTATTTAAAACCAGTTGCAAGATATGATAGATACACTTAATACATAATTATTTAATCATCACAAATTACTTTGCTGAAGTGGCTTTCATTGACACAAGTAGTCATTTATGAATGAATAAACTCTTCACATGTGGTAGATGTGGCTTGAATTGTTGACTTGAAATCATAGAACTGATTGATTATCATTGATAATACCAGTCTTATAGTAGTCCGATTTAAGATGCTAGACTCAAAGATACAAGTACATTAAATACATCTTTCAATGGTTTATTCAATTTTCATATGACAATGGACGTGGCAAAATTTAATTGTGTTTATGATGAGTTTGTTGAGTTGATCACATATTAATTGAAAGTTCCACTTTTGTGTGTATGTTTATTGTTATTGTATCTTAACCTTGGTTTTAACTTCTTAATCTTGGTTTGTGACAGGGATTTCAGGATCAAGGAGAGAAAGTGGAATTTTCTGGACCCTTGTTATCCCAATCAAACAGAATCGACGAACTCTTAGAGAGACATGAGCGCCAGATAAGAAGGGCAGTTCGTAAATCATGGTTCCATAGAGGTACTATAACAGTTACAAGTTAAACTTCATTGAAGGCAATGCTAGTTCCGAAACTATTTGTTTTCTTTTCCTTCTTTTCTTCCAAACATTATTGCCGTAAACTAATAACCATGCATGGTAGTGACATGCCATGCCAAGGATTGACAAGAAAGAAGGCCCTTAGAAAGGGGAAAAGTGTTGATACATTATAAACCAACCAAAGTTTTGCCTCTTTTAAAATACCCTCATCCGATTTTCTCCTATCCTAATAAATCGCGTGCTATCGGTCAAAATTCCCTTTGCGTCTTCTTCAATTTGTTCTAAGATTCTATGTGCCAAACCGGCTTAATTTTAGCCCTTGTTCTTATAACCTGCTATGTTGCTCTACGAGATTATTTGATTGATTTGAGAATTGTGGTCTAGAATGACTGAGATGTGATATCAATTGTGTTAAGAGGCATATTTAGCTTCTTTTTCTCAATCATAACATGGCTCATACTTGTTTAGGCCCTTTATTCAGCACTATGATGTTCCTTTGACTTTGAGAACTGTTCTTTTCCCATGTGTGTAATAATGGCAAGAAACAAAAGAAAACCTTGGTTGAGAAAAGTAATGTAATGGAAACCTGCCATCATTTTTCCCCAAAATTACTCATCCTTTATCCTATCGTAGGCACATTCATATGAGGAATTGGGTTTTGGAGATGAAAAGGGGAAAGAAAAAAGTACATGGTTTACCATGATTTTGTGCAGACCTATTATTTATGTCATTTTAAATAATTTGGTGTCGTCGTGGACTTTTGTTTTCTCGAATGGCAGTTGTTTATTCTTGAGTGGAGTGGCATAAATAATATTTTTACCATCTTGAGTGGTATTTCTAGTTTTATTTTCCCCCAAAAGGAAATGCCATTGTTTAGCCCAATTGAAACTAATCCCAAGAATTTTTATTTTTATTTAGTTTTTATTTATTTATTTTTTTTTGAAAACAATCCCAAGAATTTAGTGGCTAATAACATGTCCTTTTCTTTTAACAATTTCAGGTAAGAAGTTTGGAAAATAGTTTGTTTGACATGCTTCGTCTCGAAGGAACTTGGGTGGAGAACAGGCCTGCCTCTCTGACAGTGCTCAGATTTTACAAGCGTTTGACGAATTGATTCCCGGGGTCGTCGCCAATCCGGCTGCTATAAACTAATAGTAGTTGACAAAGTGAGAATCTCCGGCACAAACTCGGTGAAGAAGAGACATCAAGAAGCAACAATAAGAACAGCATAGTGAAATTCAAAGGTTCGAGTCCTGGGAGAGAAAACAAGAATAGTATCATAGTGTCATAGATTGATGATGATTATGGGAATTTTCTTTCTTTTATCTATGATTGATCATTTCCCTTTCTCTTGTTTAACGTTTGCTTCTTTAGCTATTGAGGTGTTTAGTACCATCCGGCAATGTATATATACAGATCAATGGGGATTAGATTATGAAGCAAAGGCCTTGTATATTCTTTTTTAAGGTTTCATAATGATTAATGCATTAGGTTTTTCCTCATAATTTCCTCTGTTTCTTTTAAGTTTCTTGGACAATTTGAAGCCGTTTTTTTAGAAGAGATTTTATACGTGGGAATTTGGTGCAAGAAGTTGAGGTATTCAACTGTTCACAAGTGTTTATTGTTTCTTTTGGCATCCTGTCCCAGGCAAAATAGTATTTTTACAGTAAATAGTTGAAGCAAAATTGTTAGGTATTAGAAATATTTGGAATGAATAAATATCAGTAAATAGCAAATATGCGAGGTAAATCATTTATTTACTTCTAATAAATAGATTATTTACTTCATTTTTTTAAATCTTGATATTTACTTACTAAGAGAACGGATATTACGTTTTAAAGATCATGACAAAGTGTTACAATAGGTATAAGTTAATGAGAATTTTTATAATTAATCATATTTCAAATGTATCCTATGAATTTGTATAATTGATTTTATAAGTAATTTACAAAGAGTAGAAATTAGAAAAAAAAAACAAGAAAACAGTAAAAATTAATTAACTCAAACAAGAGTTTTTTTAGTGTAATAAAATGCGGATTAGGTTAGGAAGTACCCAAATGGTAGGCTTTAAGATGCCGAGTGGTGGAGGGCACGAGCATTAACTTGGCCGATCCTAACACGACTGGCAATGGGTATTTTTTTGATCCTAGTCTCCACTGTTGCAGCCGAACAAGCATTCAGTACAATCGGCCGAATACTTGAGGAACAGAGAAACGCATTGCAACAGGATATTGTTGAAGCTTTGGTGTGCATCAAAGATTGGGATCGTTTCGACCAACGCTTACACGATACAATCTCATTGGCAAGCTAAGAATGAATCAACGAATTTAATATATTAACTTTTAATTTTCAAGACGATCATTCTGCTTCAAATTAAATTTTATTATTGTAATTTATAAATATTTATTTACACGAGGCCATCATGAATTACAAATTTAAAAATCAATAAAGAAATAAATTTTTTATATAGTTCGTGTGTTCATTTCAAATTGTAATATATATATCTATAATAATATATAAATATATAATATAAAAAATATTTAAAAATTCATGCATTTTCAGTCGGGTAGCCAAAGGCTGGCCGATGCCCGTTCAAGGAGAAAATCGGGTCGGGTCGGGCAGCTTGAAAATTCGGGTAGTTCGGGCTCGGTCATCGGGTAAAAATTTAAATTTTTCGGTAGTTACGGGCAACCCGTCCAAAATTTTAACACTGATCAAGTGATATTATTCGAATTAAGTCGGGTCGGGTCGGGTTGAGTTGATAAGGATAGGTGGTGATCAGGTTCTTGTATAACTCTAGACTTAAAATATAACTCATTTAGGTTAGAATACAACAACAAAAAAAAATAAATATAGATACAGAGTTAATCAGGGAAAAGCACCCAAAGGAAAACGATACCTTATTGAATATGGATGGTGAACAGAGTTTGAAGGCGGCGGAGAGAGAATGTGAAACGTCCGTCTTGATCTCTATGCTTTTTTGTTTATTTTCAAATCTTATATTTATATACTACCATGGACGGAGCCACGTTTAATCTAGTGGGGGCTTCACATTTTTTATTCTTCAAAAAGTTTGCCCATATCCTTGTATTTTTAACAAATAGCCCCCATAACAATTGAGAAAAACCATTAAATTAATAAAAAATGGGCACTGAGTATTGGCAGAAATTCTTTTTTCGCTTGGAGACGGAGAGTAACGGTAGAATATATAATATATATTATAAATTATGAGAAACCGTTTTGAAAAAGAAAAGAACTTTAAAATTCAAATTGATCTATTTCTCTCTCTCTATCTCTGTTCCTTTCGCTCTCTCTCTCTCTCTCCGTTCCCTTGCATTCTCTCTGTCCCTCTCACGTTTAAATTTTTCTCTCTCTCCCCCCCTCTGTCAGGCTCTCTCTCTCTCTCTCTCTCACCCCCCCTCCGTCAGGCTCTCTCTCTCTCTCCCCCCCTTCGTCAGGCCATCTCTCTCTCTCCCCGTTCCCTTACATTCTCTCTTATCCCTCTCATGTTCTCTTCTCCCCCCTCCTCCTCTCATTCTCTCTTATCGTTTGCTTTTTCTCTCGTGCCACGAGGACCTCACGGCGGAGAAAGAAGGTCGCTGGCTGCAGATGTTGTCGGCGGTGAGAGGGAAAGCACAAGCGAGCCACCACCGCGGGGCGTCCGAAACATTGTGGCTGTTGCTGCGGTGAGATTTAAAAAATTAGGGTTCAGATGCCGTCGGCGGTGAGAGGGAAAGCACGAGCGAGCCACCACTGCGGGGCGTCAGAAACATTGTGGCTGTTGCTTCTTACCGGCAAAAAAGCCTCGCCTGCGGTGAGATTTAAAAAAATTAGGGTTCAGATGCCGTTGGCGGTGAGAGGGAAAGCACGAGCGAGCCACCACCGCGGGGCGTCAGAAACATTGTGGCTGTTGCTTCTTACCGGAAAAAAAGCCTCGCCTGCGGTGAGATTTAAAAAATTAGGGTTCAGATGCTGTCGGCGGTGAGAGGGAAAGCACGAGCGAGCCACCCCCGCGGGGCGTCGGAAACATTGTGGCAGTTGCTTCTTACCGGCAAAAAAGCCTAGCCTGCGGTGAGATTTAAAAAATTAGGGTTCAGATGCCGTTGGCGGTGAGAGGGAAAGCACGAGCGAGCCACCCCCGCGGGGCGTCGGAAACATTGTGGCTGGTGCTTCGTACCGGCAAAAAAGCCTCGCCTGCGGCGAGATTTAAAAAATTAGGGTTCAGATGCCGTCGGCGGGGAGAGGGAAAGCACGAGCGAGCCACCCCCGCGGGGCGTCGGAAACATTGTGGCTGGTGCTTCGTACCGGCAAAAAAGCCTCGCCTGCGGCGAGATTTAAAAAATTAGGGTTCAGATGCCGTCGGCGGTGAGAGGGAAAGCACGAGCGAGCCACCACCGCGGGGCGTCGGAAACACTGTGGCTGTTGCTTCTTACCGGCAAAAAAGCCTCGCCTGCAGCGAGATCTAAAAAATTAGGGTTCAGGATGAGCAGGGACAACGTAAATGCAGTGTTCTACGAAGAGACGTACCATCCGATCAAAGCAGGAAGCATCGACGGCACCGACTTCGTCCCTCGCGACATAGCCGTCTATCGCGCCTATCTTTGCTCCTCCGCTCTTCTCTGTCTTTCGTTTCTCTCACTCTCTCTGTCTCTAAACATTGTCGTTTCGTTCCGTATCAAAAATGTGAAATTCTCTCTCTTTTGCAGATGACCCTCTCGGTGATCCCAACCTCTTCGGCGACTCTTACAGTCTTGCTGCACTCTCTTCGCCGCCCGCCTTTCTCACCAATCCATCGAACACACGCTTCACGAGGTTTTCCTTTCCTTTCTTTCTTTTGTTTGGTTCATAAAAAAATCTTCGCTCATTTACTTTATGATGGTAAAGAAATATATTGTTTAGTAAATAAATAAATTAATTTATTAGAAAAGTGTTTATGGCGTTTGGATGGTATGGATCGAGCTTTTGCCGAGGAAGAATTTACGCTTAGTTAGGCACAATGGTAAATTTTCTTTTTCACATTCCTATTTATTTATTTATTCAGAAATCAAGTAATTTTTTTTAATTTATAATTTTCTCCATATAACTTGTATTTTTTTTTTTTTAATTTTCGGGATCTTTCGTTGTAGAGAGTGATGGCCATCAGAAATCAAGTTGGATTTTTGGTCTGCTTGGTGCCGATGTTGCTTAGGGGTCCCTGATCAGCCCTAGAGTTTTGTTTTCTTGCAGATTTGTTTGCTTTTTCCTGTTATCTTCTTATATTTATGATTTTGTATTTTAGGAATTTTTTTTTTTTGTTCATATTTGCATGTCTTGTGAAATTTCCGCTATTGAAATCAATGAGGTGGAGAATAGATCATTTGTGTGGAAATTTCCGCTATAAATTTATATGTGCCTTTGTCTCATGGCTATACATTTACTTAAACACTTAGCACCCTTTAACTTCTGACCTTTTCTTCTTGATCGATCTACGACATTATTTTCACTTCCCTTATATTTATTTGAGAGGTCTTTCTTACATCTTCTTTAGCTAGTGAATCAACGTTTTATATAACCTTATCTAGTTTTCCATGATGAAATCATAGAAAGAAATCAGGAAGAATCCATATTCATATGAAGAGAGAGTCTTTTATGTCTTTATCTGGCGCATAAGGTAGTGTAAGTTCTTCTCCATATTATATTTATGAATTCTTCGTAGATAACTCATTATTGCTTACCAGTCCTAGAGATGGTAGTGCGTAGATTCATCTTTAGAGGTATGTGTGTCACTAATTTAATTAGTTTCTTTCGCATCAAATATTGTTGAAATAGATTTATTTGATATCTTTGATCTCAGCTTTTTTGTCTACCTTTTTCTTGACTTATTATTCTTATCTTCAACCGAGAGAGACGGAAGTGGTTAATAGGGTCCATTTCATGGTAAACATTCTATCAACCAATTCAATGCAACTGTTATACCATTGCGTCGATGTGAGTTTCATAGTTCTATTTATTTCCTTCTTTCTCTTGGTTTTATTTTATTTCGTTGTTTTGATGTGTATTCATTAGTTCTATTTAAAACTTGAGTTTGGCACTTTCATTTTCATCTTTCATTGTAGGAAATTTCCACAGCTGGTTGTAAGTGCTCGTTATTTTCGTAGCAATGATTTGTTGTCTTTCTATGTCTAAAGCAATTTGAGTTTATTTGATGTATTATATGAGAAGGATTGGGTTTTAGGAGATGGTTTGATTAGTTACTTTTAAACTAGTAATTGTTCTAATTTTTTTTATCTTAATCTTTCACGTTAGTAGTGAAAATGACTATTTTTTGTTGAATATATCTAATAGAATTGTGGGGAATTTTTGTTGAATTATCTAACAGAATAGTGGGATTTCAAGATAGGTTGTCATCATAAAAAAAGCTTTTTGCAGAATTCACAATGGGGACAATTGAGTAGTAGTTTATGTAAAAACTTATGCAATTAATTTTTCTTTGAGGCCCCCATCTTTCTTAAGGTGATACTTACTGATGCATTTTCGTTGTTACAAGTTAGGGATGTACTTAAGAAGAGGATCTGGCGATTAGTTGCATATCCCATTTGGAACTTCACTTGAATGAGGAATTAGCCATGAAGAGGGAGAGGGATTTGTTCTTTTGGTTTTGTTTTCTTTTTTAATTTTAAAAGCTGTGTTCGTCCTGATTTTAATGTCTTCGTCTTTATCTTGATTGTAGGAAAACTTTCCTCCCATCATTCACCAAGCCATGAAATAGGGCAAACAAAGAATGAAGAGTGAAAACAAAAAAAACCGTTATTCACGAAGCCATGAAGATAGAGAGGGAGAAGAAAAGGAATGGTAAAAAAGAGTGAGAGGAAAAAAAGGGTAAATGAAATAGGGAAATTACGTTGTTCACTACGCCAGGAAGAGAGAGAGAGAGAGAGAGAGAGAGAGAGAGAGAGAGAGAGAGAGAGAGAGAGAGAGAGAGAGAGAGAGAGAGGAAAAGAAGGTAAATAGTTAAATGAAAATAAAGAATGAATTGTGAAAAGAAAGATATATTTTTGAATTGGAAAGATGTAAATGGGAATTGGTTTGAGAGATTGTTTGTGTTTATCCTAGAGAGAGAGAGAGAGAGAGGAGGCAAAGAAGGTAAATATAAAGAATGAATTGTGAAAAGAAAAATATATTTTTGAATTGGAAAGATGTAATTGGGAATTGATTTGAGAGATTGTTTCTGTGTTTATCCTGCTCTTTATATTTGGTCAGTTTTCACACCTGGCCATTTTTGTTCCATTATTGATTTTTATCAATAACGTTTTTATTATTAAAAAAAAGACTGTTGAATCACTAAGCCATGGAGAGAGAGAGAGAGAGAGAGAGAGAGAGAGAGAGAGAGAGAGAGAGAAGTGTGAAAAGAAAAAATAAGAGGACAAATTAAAATACTAGATTTTTTAAATTACTCTTTGACCTTCTTCATTGATCTGCGCGTTTTCAAGGTAACTTCTAATTCTAACTTGATCTATTATGTTTGAAAAACTTGCTAATTTCTGCAGAATATAAAAGAAGTATTAGGTTAACTTTTGCCATATTCAAATTCCCTCTTCCACAACACTTTGATAAACCAGGTTTATTAGTTACTCCTTAACTTCTCTTGTATAACTCGTTATAGGTTGCTTGTTATGAATTTTCTGCTGTCATTGAATGTTCTCTATTAATCAACAAATTCGGCGGTCTGTTTCTTCTGCATTTTAATTATTTGAAACATATATCTGCCCTTACATACATGCAAATCTCTTGTGTAATGGGTAACTTTTATAATGTTTGGTTGTTGTGGGATATAAACACAGTATATTGTTTTGCTAGAGTCTTATGTCCATTCTTTAAACAAAAAAAGGTGTTAGATCCATTAAAAAACATCAATCTTATGATAAAAGGTTGGCAAGCATTTCTTAGTTGCTCCTAACTTGTTTGATATAACGTTGGATAGATCACAATTCTCATGCCATAGTTGCTCCGATATAATAACATAGTCATGTGATTATAAATTTGTCTTTCAAATGTATTCATTTGTCTGTTTTGTGATTTTAATATGCGTGATCATGTAAATCTCTCCGTTGTTGACTATAATGGTGTTCCTTTTCTATGATTTCCACTGTAAGCATAATTTCAATTCAATTTTTCACATTAGGTAGTACTAGATAATCCCTGTAAAATATTTATACTTTAGTTAAATGTCTGCTCTTAATTGCTGATTTAATTTCACCTTTGATGATTTTGTCGATCTTGTTATCTTTTCACTTATATTTGCTACCTATTGGTCATTTTTAAGCATCTAAATTTTACTTTCTACTTTATTATTATTGTGCTTCATAGACATTCTTTTTCATGAGTTCTCATCATCTTCCATAATAGTTATTCCAGTTCAAATTTTGATCTTCTTAAATTTTGATTTTTTGTAAGACTTATATTGATGGTTGTTATACCTATAAGGATTACATTTGTGTGAATTGGTTATAATTCATTTATTCTTTATCATTAACAACATTTTTGATAGTTTTTCTTTTGATTCAATTATTGCATAAACTACATGGAGATTCTTATCCCTGTAAATTATTTGTCCTTTAGAAAGATGTCTCCTCATAACCCCAAACTTTTATTTGACTCTGTGTTGTCTTTGTTGATTTTATAATTTTGTAACCGATATTGGCTTTCATTGTGAACTAATTCTTTACGATATGAGTTCTAAGATCTTCATATAAGATTTTCTCTTGTCCTCTTTATTGCTTATTTAGTTATATTTTAGAGATACCTTATGCTTTTTGTATTAACTACTTATCTCATTCTCTTCATTAATATTCTTAAGTCAATATTTGTTTCCATATATTTAATTACTTATTGTCTGATCTTTTTAATAAATTCCTCTCACGTCTGTTATGATTTCATTATTGGCACTATAATTAGATTCTTTTGTTCTTGACTAATCTCTTAAATTTTAGAATTGCTGCTTCTTGTTAATTACTAATATCACGCTCTGTCTTTTAATCTCTAATGACTCTTGTCTTATAGAAATACATTTATTTGTATTTTATTCTTAATCTTTATCTATAATCTATCAATAATCTATATGCATCTATCTATTTTTTTACTGTAGCTCCCCTGACATTTAACTGTTCAAAGTTTGGTCTTTCTAATTTGTCATTTTTTTAGTTTTTTTCCCCCTTAAATTTTTTTTTTTCCCTTCCCCTGAAGCCTTTTCGTGCATGGCCCTCTCCTTGAGCCTGCAGCTTCCTTCTCTCGCCTTTGTCTCTCTCTGCTGTGACTCTCTCAATCTCTCCGCCTCTCCTTTCAGAATTTGATGGAAGCCATTAGCGAAGGTTATTTGCTCTTGTTTCATGTGGGTATTAATGCGGGCTTCTAAGAGGAAGCCATTAACGAAAGTAAGTTGTTGGTCCTCCCTTTTTAAGGGTTTTGTTCTTTTCTTCCATTTTTTATGTGGGTCAAATGAATGGAAGAAAAAAACCTCTCTGTTTTGGGGATTCGATCATCTCTGGGCTTTGTCCCCTTTGATGGAGGTTATTTCTTCTTCACATGTTTTTTTTTTCTTTTCCTTTTCGTTTGGGTGTTCGTTTTTTCTTTAAAATTTTTTTGATGATACTTCAAAATTTGAAAACCCTACCCATTTTCATCCAGAACCATCGCTTTCATTTCTCAGCTCTTGCTTTCTCAGATTCAAAGTCATAGCCTTTGCCGGGTGATCTCCTTTGGAATTTCGTCTCCTTGTTGTCGGCTCATCTTGTTGGTGTTTATGAGTGGATTCTCCTTCTTATGATCAACTTTGATTGTGGTGAGCATTATTCTTAATTGTTGTTAGCTATGTTTTTTTCCTTGTGGATTTTGCATTCTTTCCTTTTTTCCATGTTTTTGTTTTTGTTTTTTTTTGGCGGCTTGTTTGATTGTCTACTTTATTATTTTCTCATATGTTTCTGTACACAAATGAAGTTTAAAAGGTAATCTAGAAATCTTCTTAAGTTGATCGAGTCGGTTTTACTCATGAGAGGGGGGGAGAGAGAGAGCATTTTTATTTAGAATTTTAGACTAAATATGCAAATTCCATTGAATGCAATTGATTTTGATCCATGAAACTATAATTTAAAATTGTTTACGGTGCACTTGCTCTGTTATTGTTGAGTTTGAATTATAATTATTATAAGAGCCGTTAAAGTTCTCTTCGATAAAGAATTCCATGAGAGAGAGAGAGAGAGAGAGAGAGAGAGAGAGAGATTTTAGACTAAATATGCAAGAAACATTGATTTTGAGGCCAAAATAATTTGTCCTATTGGAGAAACTCCCTTATTTTCTTGTGACTTTTCTCAAAACAGAGTATTGAGTCATATTTTTGTGTCTGTCAATGTTTTGTTTGCTATTATTTCTGACTATAGGAAATACCTACTTCTTCCGGGGTCAAATGCCAACATTGGTGGAGTATATGTTGCTTCTTTACCATGCCTTATTGCCAACTGCACTCCGGTACCGTTTCTTCTAGAACAAAGAATATGGAAGTCTCTTTTCATCACTAATGACAAAATTGTATTTAACCTTCAAGCTCGTGTCTGTTGTTGAAAAGGTGAGGGTTTTGTCTTATTTTTTTCCCCTTGCAAAATTGGTAATATACGTTTCCATGTTCCCTATATCTTTCTAGTCTCTCGTGAAGGTTGGGTTTCTGGTAAGAGAGGTGTTTTTACCAATGTGTACTTTTCTTTTTCCCTCTCCATTTCTGTGCTGCACTGAAAGCTTTATCGCGTAAGGAAGTGCACTATGGAGCATATGGGACATCTGAGCAGGTAATTGGATTTAGTTTTGCATAGAGTATGCTAACAAACTTGCCATGGCTTGAGACACACATGTGCAAGATCATCACATATGAATCAACAATGTCATATCTTTTATAGTAATTTTCTTGTTTAGAATTTGTTGAACTTCTAATTACCATCTAGATGTTCTGAGGAACCTGTGCTGCCTAGACTTGTGTCTGTTATTTCTATTTGCCTTATTTCTTTTGAAGATATTTCATCCGTGTTTTTATAGGGAAAAATTGTGTATTTGTTCTATATGCCTTCTTTCTTTGGAAGATTTTTTAATTAGTTTTTGTTTAGGGAAATTTTATATTTAAGTAATGCAATTTTAACCCATCAGTTGTCAGAAACAGGTGAATACAGCTGGTGATCTATGCACTATATGGCAAGAGAAGATGCACGCTCCTATCCTACTTCGTTGCAAGCTCATTTTCTGTGAGGACTGTGTTTCAGAATGGTCAGTTTATTGTCTGTTATCTAGACAATGTTCTGTTTTCCATTCTTGGACAACTCTTTTGGAATTACCTTCAGTTGCACTTTCTGCCTATTACATAATTACATTGAGGTTTATTATGTAGTTGTTCATAGTTCCTATTTAATTGAATTGTTTTTGTGCGGTTATTTTGAGGTTTACGTCTCAAAATGCCTCGAGGCTTACGCCTCGCAGAGGCAAATTATTGACACCTCTTAAATAGACACCTCATTAAAATTTTATTTTAAAAAGGTTAAATATTGACACCTCATTAGAATTTTATTTAAAAAGGTTAAATATTGATACCTCATTACAATTTTATGTGAAAATTTTATATATTTGTTTCCGGGAGCAGGGTGCTGTGATGGATTGAACCCTTTTGTTTCCCCATGTATATGTTAAGATTTATTTTAAAAAGGTTATAGCACTCCTTTTGATGTCGGGCACAAGATAAAGAGAGAAGAGTTGGAATCTAATTAGAGAAGACAATCATAAAAAGAAAGGGAACCAATAGAGAGAGAGAAACAGAACCAGAAACGAGAGACTAGAGGATTAAGAGAGAACAATAACAGAAGATGGAAGTAGAAATCTCAAAATTTTATTAATCAACCAAAAACTCTCTTTTGAAATTATAATTACTATGACGTTTATAGAAATCTATAAAACTAATAATGTAAACTTTAAGTAAATATTCTAAATAATCCAAAGGGATAAAAAATTATCTCAAATAATCTTAAAAGATAAACTTAATGTCAAAATCAAAAGTAAATATTGAAATTAACTAAATCCTAATATCCTAAATCTTAAAAGATAAACATAACTTCAAAATCAAAATTAAACATTGAAATCAACTAAATCCTAATATCCTATATACTTATTCCTCATCACCTTTGATATTACCCTTTTTCTTGCAATCATGGCAAGTTCCGTGTTTTCCATGTTTTGTTTGTTGTTGTGGTTTTGTTTTTGAGTTTTTGGCTGATTGATGGACATATTTTCTTTGATTCAAGAGGGAACGGACATGTCCTCTGTGCTGGGTTTTGGAATGAAAATTTCCTCTTTTTTTTTTTTTGTCCTTCCAATAGCTTTAACAAGTTGTCTTTGAATGGACTAAAATGCTGGTTTGTGGTTTAATCTTGGATGTTACTATAAACATTTGAATGTTTTTGTTTGACCCATAGAAGACACAAGATTATGAATATTTAAAATTAGTTATGTGATGTCTGCCATTTAAGATTCATTATTTAACATGCTACTTATGACTTGTGAGGCATTAAAAACTTGGGACAGTTTGAATTCATTCTGCAATGACCATGAATTGACTTGGTTGTAATTATGTTGGAATATTCCTTCCTAACAACATAGTCCAATCATTTTTTAGTTATCATTTATTTTATTGAAAATAAATAATAAACTTCTATTTTTATAGTGGAATTCAAGAACTCAACTTTAGTCTTTGAATAAAAGAATTAATTCTCATCTTGGGCCTCACACATGCGAAGCACACGGGCTTCAACTAGTTTATTATTAACAGTCTCTTTAATAAGAGTTTAAACGGTTATATTTATTTAAGAAAAAAGGAGAGAGAGAGAGAGAGAGAGAGAGAGGGAGAGAGAGTGAAATGCTAGTTAGTGCTGGTTTTATGGACACAAATTGTTAAGTTGCTGAGATTTTATTGCTAGGCTATCAATTGAAAATGAGAAGGATGGTTGCAACATTTGGTTGGTTGCAAAATGAGAAGGATGGTTGTTTATGATTTTCTTTTACGTATAGCATTTTGTACCTAAATTATAATCACAAGCAATGTGGTATTTGTTTCAGGGTGAGAGGTGGGATGATGAATTGAGGTGGAACTTGAAAGATGGCAATAAGAAGGGCTTAGATTTTGAATAAGTCTACTAAAACGTCTGTTAAAGGTAAGAACATGGGTTCCTTAATAAGTACTGAAATATTGGATCATCATTTTATACCTCATTTTTTGTGTGTGCTCATGGAATGTTTGTTACAAATATTGTTGCAGTGAAGCTGTGATACATGATCATATTGCTGTTCATTTCATGAATTATGTTTGATATTGTTCCAAGTATTGGAAGTGGAAATACATGAAATGTTTGCACAGGTTGCTTGAATAATAAGTTTGGGGTACATGGAATCCCCCTTGGAACCAAATCTCTTCTTTCTTTTGGCTGTATTTCTTCATATTGAACTGATACGGTTTAATACTCGTGCTTGACATCCTCATCTTCAATAATTTTTTGTTCATGTTGCGTTCTTTTGTTCTCTTTAATACTTGTGCTTGACATTCTCATCTTCATTAATTTTTTAATTCAAGCATCTCTATATGCTTGTTATTCCTGAAGCCCCTCGAAAGAGTTGGTTGTTACTTGAAGTGATCAAGAACTCAAGGGAGACTTTACAAGAAAAATATGCTCCATTGCAACAGAGCAAGTTATTTCTTTTTAGGGGAAAAATAATAGAGTAAGTTATTTCTAATCCTAAAATTAACTCCTTTTTCCTTTTGGATATTGCAGATTGTCTTTTTTCTCATGCATGCTTTATTTTTATTTATTTTTTATTTTGGGCTGATAGTATGTATATGTTTCTTCAAAAGAGAACAAAAGTTAAGGCATTGACTTGGAACACGAAATTGTTTGTTTTTTTCGTTCATGGTATGTCTCTATGTGAGTTTTTGTTTGTTCAAATTATTTAAGAAATTTTCTCTTACTATTTCTAAAGCTCTTATGAACCAAGGTTTTAAAAGGCGGTATCGGGCCTCGAGGCGTTTTGCCTTTACGAGGCGAGGTGTAAGCCTCAAAAACTGCCTATAAAAAATTTAGAAAAAAAAAAATAATAGTAACAAAAACTAAATCCATACTTAATAATCATTAAAATCATGAAATTTAATTAAATATCCACATAAAGACTAAATAATTATCAAATTATAATATCATAAGGATCATAATGCACTTCTAAAAGCCTAATTTCCCAAGTCATCAATCAATAATCATCATCACTACTAAGAGAAGCATCAGCCAATTTAAATCTCTCATTGTCCATGAATTCTTGGCTGTTAGTGTAAGAATCACAAGTCTATCCACTCTTCTTCTTCATCCTCTTGCATGATCTCCTTGCCTCTATCACCTAATTATAAAAATTAAACTTAAGTTACTATCTCTTATATGATAATTAGAGTAAATAATAGAGAAGACAACTAATAATTCATACGGCATATCTTGCCACAAACTTGTCCTCTTCTTTTTAGAGCTTTTTTGAGCTCTAGTACTAGTACTAGTACCTTCTCCATCCTCAAAAAGATCAATGTCAAGATTGTCAATTGCTTCTTCTGTTGGAATTTCGCTTGGCAACTCATCAATGATTAAGGGATCCTCATCTTGCTGAAGTGCCTTTTTTTTCAAATGTTGATCTTTTAGCTTCTTGTTGAACATGATGTAGACCAAGGAATTTATCTTTTGTGTAGTCAAGCGATTTCTTCTCTTGGTATGAACTTGGTTGTGGGTACTCCAATTGCGTTCACATCCCGAAGATGAACAAGTGAGACTCAAAACTCTAACTGCAAAGCTAGCCAACTCTGGGGTACTATCTCCAAATTGGGACCACCAATCATCTGAATTTAAAATTGATATGAAAATAATTAGTCAAACAATCTAAATTGTTTTATTAGTCAAAATTAATAAGATAGTTTCTACTTACTAGGATTGCATTTCATGTATGATCCTTGAGCTTGACGAAGGCCAAAAAACCCATTCTTCTGTTGAAATTCATCTTGTTGAAATTCATCTAGTTGGAGGTCGGCCTTCTCTAGATCATTTGAGTCCTTAAACATCCTATTCATGCAATGGTACAAACCAAGCTTGATCTCAGGATGGTTGGAAGGATTATCAGAGTATCGAATACTTGGATTCAAGTAGTATGCCGCGGCATGTAAATGTTGATGCAACTGAAAATCCCACTTTTTGTCAATGATCTCCCAAATCTCCCTTGTAGTCTTTCTCTTTACCTCCCAAGTTTTTAGCAATTTCCTCTTTTGCCTTGTCCATAGCCCCATATATAAATCCCATGGCGGGTATCTTTTCAGAGTCGACTACTCTCAACACCTTCACTATGGGTTGTGTAGACTTAAGAACATACCCAACAGCAGCCCAAAACTGATTATCCTATATGACTATCTTTTTCACCTCTTTCCCATCCGGTTTCTTTACATATGAACTACTGTTCTATTCCTCCGATACAAACATAGATTGTAGAGGCTGTATTAGTCTATATCTGCACTCCAAAGTCAAATAGGCAGTAGCAAATCTTGTTGCAGCAAGTCGAACAAGATCCATTTTGGTAAACTTTCTCATCAATGACAACACCCAACGGTGATTGTACACATAATTGCTAATTTTTTTTACTTTCACCAAAGCCCTTTTATGTTGTGGCAATTCTCCTAGTTTCTCAAGGATCAAATCAATGCAATGATCAGCACAAGGAGTCCAAAATAAGTGTTTTCGTTTCTCCATTAGTTTTGCTCCAGCAGCCTTATAAGCACTTGCATTGTCAGTCACAACTTGAACAACAAGATCTTCCCCAACTTCTTCAACAATCTCGTCAAGCATCTTAAACAATAGATTTGCATCTTTCTTTTTATCAGAGGCATCAACAAATCTCAAGAAAATAGTTCCATGAGGATTGTTGACTAAAAAGTTGATCAAACCTCGATTTCTAGCATCCGACTAGCCATCAAATAAAATAAAAACTCCTGTTTGTTTCCAAGTCATTTTAACCTCCTTCAAAATCCATGTTCTACACATATTAAAATAGGAGGGGCTCCTAGCAATATTGAAAGCAAGTGCATTTTCATAAAAGAACCTACCAATGTTGAGATATACTCGAGAACGGGCATCTTTATCTCTTGATGTCGTTCTAAGGGAAGGTCTTTCGTTTGCTTCTTTATCATCCACATTGTTCAAAAACCTGTCCATGGGACCTCTAACTCCTCTATCACTAACCACTTGCGGCGATTGACAAGAGTCGACAAATCCATCACCATAATAAGAGTCAACATCCACCATTTCTTCAAATTTTTGATGCGCTAACTGTTTTTCAACAGCCCACTTGTTCATATAGTCATTAATTTCTTTGTTCACATCATCAGGAACCTTAGGACAAGGCTTTACATTCTTATGAGTGCAAGCAAGGTGTTCTTTCATCCTCTTAACACCTCCTTTAATAATTTGATTGCAAAACACACATTGGAGGTAAACATAGTCCTCATTTTCTGATGTAATTTCTTTTCCATATTTTCAAGCCGGATCCCGTCTCCCACTACGACTACCGCTAGCATTTTGTGGAGGTCTCATCCTAATTCCTAACTTAAACAAAAAAAAAAAACCAGAATTACAAGAGAAAAACAAACAATATAGCATTTAGTTGTTTCTCTCATAAACACATAAGGAACATCAATGCATAAGAATAAAAATCTTTAATATATAAATAATCGAGTAAGCCTTCAAAATGCAAAAAAAAAGGTTGAGTAGAAGGAACCTTGCGAAGGAGTAGGAGGAGCTACGAAGAAGAATGAGGCACGGCGGTCGGCGATGAAGGAGCTGCGAAGAAGAACGAGGCACGGCGGTTGGCGGAAGAGGCGCGAAAGAATGAGAAGATTTCGCAGAGGGAGAGGTTATGTTTTCAGTCTCTGGTATTTGGGCTTTCGGGGTTGGCCGGCCTAATTCAATTAGGGTTAAAAACCCACTGAAAATCCTATACAAGCAAGGCGTGTGCCTCACTAACCGCCTGAGGCACCGCTCAAAGGCGTGCGCCTCAAGCGGTTGAGGCGCACGCCTCAACTCCTACCCTCTAAGGCGTAGGAATGGAGGCGCTTTTCTAGCGCCTCGCCACGAGGCGCGCCTCAAGGCGTGCGCCTCAGGCGCTTTTTAAAACACTGTTATGAACACTTTGTTTTTTCTTTATATATTGTACATATACATATTAATTCCCATTTCTTTGCAAACTAAATACAAAAAATCTTCATTTGGCTGTTGTTTGTGGGCATTCGCGTTGCGATTTGCTTGATTACCCAATTTTCTGTTGAACGCTTTAAGATGTGTTTATCTTTATTGGTCATCTTTGTCAGTGGGAGTAGATATAACGAGCTGTGTTATTTTGAGTTTTATTTCTTGTTGGCTGTTCTTGAACTTTTTTACTTATTGTTTCTCCCTTGTTAGTTTTATTTTCCATTTTAGAAAAACCGATTTTTATGCTAACAGGCAGGCTGGAACTTTTGTGAAAGTTGACGTATGGCATGCCCTTAATCTCATGATACAGATTTTATAGAGCATTCCAAACATCTCCTTGGGTAAGCAAATTTTTCCTCGTTATTTTCATATAATAAATGGCCAATGAAAATTTAACACCCAAAATTTTAGGGGTTTAATTTTGTAAATAAATTTTGGGCTCAATTGCAAAATTTTTTGAAAAGTGGGTCAAAATTTGAGATTCCATCAACTTTGACTTTGTCAAAGTTTGACTAGTCAAAGGGTCCATCATTTGATCCAAGAACCCGACCCTCCCTCTCTTTCTCTTCTTCTTTTTCTCTTTCCTTTTTCTTTCTTTCTTTCTCTTCCCTGCTGACGGCCATCAGTCGTTGACGACGTTTTCGGTGTTTGTTTTACACACCTCCTGGCTCATCGGAAAGCTCTCGTTGAGCTGAGTTCGAAATGCTGTCATGTGGTTGCCAACTCCTTCGAATGAAGCTGCACGAAGTTCCGAAAACAACTGAAACTTCTGATTGCGATATCTCCTCCGGCCGACCTCCGATTGAGGTAATTTTAGCTCCTGTACATTCAGAATGAAGAGAAAAAGAAAAACCACCCCTTTTCACATCTCGATTTTGGCCGGAGCATCGCCATTTGTGGTGGTTGTTTTTGCTGCCGCCGCCGTTGTCGTTTCTCCTCTGGGCTGCTGTAGGCGACATCGCCCCCACCTTCAGCCTCAAAACTCGTAGATGAGTCCATCCCGACCAGTAGCCGCTGTCGACGCTGCTGTTTGGTCAGAAACTCAATGGTGAGGAAAAATTTTAATAGGATATATGGGTGAGATTTTATTCGTCTTTTCGTTGTGAATGTACAAAAAAAATCATCTCAATCAAAATTAAGACAAAAAAGTTATGACATTTTTAAGAATATAAAAAATACTGTTCATTAACTTGAGTTTGAGTTTATGAACTCGAGTTGAAGGGAAAACTTAAACTCGAGTTTAGCCCCAAACTCGAGTTCAAACTCAAATTTTACAAAAGAATATGAACTTAATTAAAATTGTAACTCGTGTTTAAATTTTTTTTTGAGTTTTGTTACAAAAGAACAACCCCAAAATTATAACTTAAGGGTGCGTTTGGTTTCAGTGACGGAATGATAATGGAATGAAATTGGAATGTGCTGGAATCATAAACTGATTCTTTTGTTTGATTGGAGTTATGGAATCAATACCTGAATGAGGATTATGTTGTTTGGTTGACAACGGAATGGAATGAAAATAAACTGTATTTTGACAAAAATACCCTTGATTAATAATCATAAATAATTTAATAATTTAATTAATTAAAATAGTAAAAAAATAATTTAACTATTAAAAAAAACTTTTTATTTGAAGGATAATAATTTAAAAACTATATTTCAATTGTAAAAAAAATAATATTTGATATTTTTATGTAATAATAAATTATCACAAGCTCAAATATGATAATTTTTGGCATCTACCATGATATGTTCTCTGAAAAGTATAACTTTGGCCCCTGTCAATAATAAAAATGACAATATATTATTCAACTACATATATAATTTCAAAATATAGTCATATGTCAAGTAAAGCAAGTTCATAGTTAATATAATTTAACAAAGTGAAGTATAATCCTAATTAGTTATTTTTCTCTTTTGGAGATCTATATCTTTTTCTGTATAAGATGTTGATCACCATTTATATATAGTTGAGCTATTAATGAAGGCGTGCCTTTTGATAGGTAAAGTTTATATAGAACCGTGAAAGCTTACTCAATAAAATAATAAAGAAAAAGTTTGGATAGAATCACAGTTGAAAAACACAGCCACTTTATCCTCAATTATGTAAGTTCAAATTTTCAAAACTCACGTTTGGCTTGATTTTTTGTTGGTTTGATGTTTATTTCTTCAGGATGCACAAAACCTCATGTAATATAAAATAAGAGGTTAACCTAATTGGGTTAATTCAGTTGCCAATATTGTTAAGTAAAAGTCTAATTGTGGGGTGGTGGGTTGATTATGCTGCAGCATTATGGAGGCTCAAGTGCAAGAGGCAGTTCCTCCTCAGCCTCAGGTTCAAGTCACATTTTCGCTTGGGGTGGTGGATTGTTTTCTTCTGTTTTTTGTTTTTTTCAGAGACTATGAAATACCAATTAGCAGACTTATTAGGGAGCAAAAAATCGATTATCCCCTTTGAAATTCACAACAAATTAGCATTTGGTATTGGGAAACTCATTATGGCTTACTATTGCAAATGCATTCTACAATAATAACTTTTACAATATTGTTGAAACAAATAAATAGAGAAGAAAGAGACAACAAAAACCGCTAACTTAGCGAACTAAATTGGGCGCATCATGCAAAATCAGGAGAAGTGTATGCCAGCCTTGTTGAACAAAGAAAGCAGATACAAGAATTCCTAGAGGGTGAGCTTGGACGATCTCTTCTCTTCAAAATTGCCCTCCTTCAACACGGCCAAAACCCTGTTTTTGAATTCAGATGGCTCCCCTTCTACATCACCAAATGCTAGAGCTAAAAGTCCATCCATATCCACATCTTATTATCATTTCTTCATCTGCTCCATCATCATCATCATCCACATCCATATTTAGGTATTCATTGTTGTCCCTGAGTCTTGAAAAGTCCATCTTATTATCATTATCCTCCATCAAACCTTGTCCTGAGAGCTTCAGTGCTTGTACAGTCTTGTAGTTCTTCTCCAGTAAAGTAATGACACTCTTCTGCCTAAAGATTGAACCAAGAGTCTTGTTCTTACGGTTGAAGCATATCCGGAGAAATCCATCCCACTCTTTTTGCTTCACTTCAATCCAGGGTTTCCTTGGCTCAATTCGAACCACAGAGGAATTCACTTTCGGGGGAGGGCGGCAGTTATTCTTTCCGACTTTAAGGAGGTGCGAGACTCGGGCAAGTAGTTGGGTGTTCACAGTAAGACGACAGTAGAGCTTGTCCCCAGGCTGGGCCACCAGTCTCATTTAACCAAGAAGGCTAAATATATGCAATTCAATTCATAATAAAATCAAAATCACGATTCAAAACGAAGAAAACCTCAATCGCAATATAGGATTAACCAGAATCCAAAACATAACAACCAATTCTGCGGATATTGAAACAAAAAACGCAACGCAATGGAAAAAAGAAAAGATTGGAAATTTAGAAATAAAGAAATACCTTCAACCGATTGGAGAGAGGAGTGCCCTGGAAGCGCCGCTGCAACTCGAGGACCATACGAGGGTCGACCCCGACGGCGATGACCGCCTTGCGAGCTTCTAGAAGCTTCTTCATAAGGTTTCCGGTACCAGGACCGATCTCGAGGATGGTGTCGGTAGTCTTGATACCGGCTTTTTGGACGATGGAGTCGACGAGCAGAGGGTTCTTGAGAATGTGCTGTCCCTTTAACTTGTGGAAGGATATGCCTCTTTGGTACGGAGCGTGCGCTGCTGCGTTCGGCTTCGGTTTCTCTTTCCTCGCCTTTCCGCCCGCCATTGTTGCTCCCAATTGGAACTGTAGAGAGAGAGAGAGAGAGTTATGAGTAATTGTGTTTGGTCTCGGAAAGCTTCGTTAGGGTTCGGGAATCGAGGAGAGAGAAGCCGGTGACAGGTGGTGGATGCGTAGAGAGCTCGGAGTTGGTTCGGGAGCTTCGAAGCCATGGCGTCGATGGTCAATGGCTGGAGCTTGGTGGTCGAGCAAGAAATGGGGGCTAGGGCATCATGGACTTTTTGGAGAAAACGTGAATCAGGGCTGAATGGAAAAGCCATTCCACAGCCCCCTACGTGAATGGCCATTCACTCAAAATGAGTGAATGGGCGTAGGAAAGCCCTTTCTAACCTAAAAAATGAAAGCAAACAATGGAATTAGGTGGAATGGCTTTTCCTTTTCATTCCATTCCCCCAACCAAACATAGCCTAAGTTAAAATTTTTTTAAAATTTTGATAAAAAAACAAGCCCATAAATTTCTTTTCTTTTCAAAACAGTTTCTCATAATTTATAATATATTAAGAGGATGTTTGGTAGAGAGATTCATTCCCTGATTTGAATCATAATTCGTGGTTCGTTACAGTATTTTCTCTCAAAAAATACACGTAAATCGAAAATGGTTCGAATCACATGGTTTAAATCCTCCAACCAAACGTCCTCTTAATATATTCTACCGTTACTCTCCGGTCTCCGTGCGAAAAAAGAATTTGTGCCCATTCTTTATTAATTTAAATTTCTCTCTCTCTCTCTCTCTCTCCCCCCTCCGTCAGGCTCTCTCTCTCTCTCTCTCTCCCCGTTCCCTTGCATTCTCTATCCCTCTCACGTTAAAATTTATCTCTCTCTCCCCCTTCCGTCAGGCTCTCTCTCTCTACCGGTTCCCTTGCATTCTCTCTTACCCCCCCCCCCCCCCCTCATTCTCTCTTCTCGTTTGCTTTTTCTCTCATGCCACGAGGACCTCACGGCGGAGAAAGAAGGTCGCTGGCTGCAGATGCCGTCGGTAGTGAGAGGGAAAGCACAAGCGAGCCACCACCGTGGGGCGTCCGAAACATTGTGGCTATTGCTGCAGTGAGATTTAAAAAATTAGGGTTCAGATGCCGTCGGTGGTGAGAGGGAGAAAGCACGAGCGAGCCACCACCACGGGGCGTCAGAAACATTGTGGCTATTGCATCTTACCGGCAAAAAAGCCTCGCCTGTGGTGAGATTTAAAAAATTAGGGTTCAGATGCCGTCGGCGGTGAGAGGGAAAGCATGAACGAGCCATCCCCGCGCGGCGTCGGAAACATTGTGGCTGTTGCTTCTTACCGGAAAAAAAGCCTCGCCTGCGGTGAGATTTAAAAAATTAGGGTTCATATGCCGTCGGCGGTGAGAGGGAAAGCACGAACGAGCCATCCCCGCGGGGCGTCGGAAACATTGTGGCTGTTGCTTCTTACCGGCAAAAAAGCCTCGCCTGCAATTAGGGTTCAGATGCCGTCGGCGGTGAGAGGGAAAGCACAAGCGAGCCACCACCACGGGGCGTCGGAAACATTGTGGCTGTTGCTTCGTACCGGCAAAAAAGCCTCGCCTGTAGTGAGATTTAAAAAAGTAGGGTTCAGATGCCGTTGGCGGTGAGAGGGAAAGCGCGAGCGAGCCACCACCGCGGGGCATCGGAAACATTGTGGCTGGTGCTTCGTACCCGCAAAAAAGCCTCGCCTGTAGTGAGATTTAAAAAAGTAGGGTTCAGATGCCGTTGGCGGTGAGAGGGAAAGCGCGAGCGAGCCACCACCGCGGGGCATCGGAAACATTGTGGCTGGTGCTTCGTACCCGCAAAAAAGCCTCGCCTGTAGTGAGATTTAAAAAAGTAGGGTTCAGATGCCGTTGGCGGTGAGAGGGAAAGCGCGAGCGAGCCACCACCGCGGGGCATCGGAAACATTGTGGCTGGTGCTTCGTACCCGCAAAAAAGCCTCGCCTGTAGTGAGATTTAAAAAAGTAGGGTTCAGATGCCGTTGGCGGTGAGAGGGAAAGCGCGAGCGAGCCACCACCGCGGGGCATCGGAAACATTGTGGCTGGTGCTTCGTACCCGCAAAAAAGCCTCGCCTGTAGTGAGATTTAAAAAAGTAGGGTTCAGATGCCGTTGGCGGTGAGAGGGAAAGCGCGAGCGAGCCACCACCGCGGGGCATCGGAAACATTGTGGCTGTTGCTTCGTACCGGCAAAAAAGCCTCGCCTGTAGTGAGATTTAAAAAAGTAGGGTTCAGATGCCGTTGGCGGTGAGAGGGAAAGCACGAGCGAGCCACCACCGCGGGGCATCGGAAACATTGTGGCTGTTGCTTCTTACTGGCAAAAAAGCCTCGCCTGCGGTGAGATCTAAAAAATTAGGGTTCAGGATGAGCAGGGACAACGTAAATGTAGTGTTCTACGAAGAGACGTACCATCCGATCAAAGCAGGAAGCATCGACGGCACCGACTTTGTACCTCACGACATAGCCGTCTATCGCGCCTATCTTTGCTTCTCCGTTCTTCTCTGTCTTTCTTTTCTCTCATTCTCTCTATCTCTAAACATTGTCGTTTCGTTCCTTATAAAAAATGTGAAATTCTCTCTTTTGCAGATGACCCTCTCGGTGATCCCAACCCCTTCGGCAACTCTTACAGTCTTGCTGCACTCTCTACGCCGCCCGTCTTTCTCACCAATCCATCGAACACAGGCTTTGCAAGGTTTTCCTTTCCTTTCTTTCTTTTGTTTGTTCATGAAAAAATCTTTGCTCATTTTCTTTATGATGATAGAGGAATATATTATTTAGTAGATAAATTAATTAATTTTTTAGAAAAGTGTTTATGGCGTTTGGATGGTATGGATTGAGCTATGGGAAAGCGTTGCCGAGGAAGAATTTACGCTTAGTTAGGCACAATGGTAAATTTTCTTTTTCTCATTCCTATTTCTTTATTTATTTATTCAGAAATCAAGTAATTTTTTTTTAATTTATAATTTTCTCCATATAACTTGTATTTTTTTTTAATTTTCGGGATTTTTCGTTCTAGAGAGTGACGGCCATTAGAAATCAAGTTGGATTTTTGGTCTGCTTGGTGCCGATGTCGCTTAGGGGTTCCTGATTAGCCCTAGAGTTTTGTTTTCTTGCAGATTTGTTTCCTTTTTCCTGTTCTCTTATATTTATGATTTTGTATTTTAGGAATTTTTTTTGTTCATATTTGCATGTCTTGCTCTGTTATTGCTGAGTTTGAATTAGATTATAAGAGCCGTTAAAGTGGTCTTCCATAAAGAATTCCATGAGTGAGAGAGAGGGGGGGAGAGAGAGAGTAGACTGAATATGCAAATTCCATTGAATCCATGAAACATTGATTTTTATCCATGAAACTATAATTTAAACATTGTTTACTGTGCACTTGCTCTGTTATTGCTGAGTTTTAATTGGAATTATTATAAGAGCTGTTAAAGTTTCTTCCATAAAGAAGTCCATGAGAGTTAGCTTATAATTTAATCCTCTTTGTTACTCATACTTGTACAATTGTTTTTCCGTTTTGGTGATTTATTTCAAAGGAAACGTTTTTTATGCACTTTTTTTTTATTCTTGAAACATTTAGTTGAATTCTGATCAAAAGTTTCTAAGTTTGATAACGTAAATGCCTATTGCATTTGATTGTTTTCCAATTTTCACCTATATTTCCATTGATGTGGATATTTCTATTGATACTCCCATAAATCCATGTCAATTTTTTCATCCTTAAATAAATATATATCCGTTGTTTCAGTACCTTGTAAATAAATAAATGAATATCTACCTTAAATATATATATATATATATATCCATAGTTTGAATTATAATTATTTCAGTTTTTTCAAATGCCTTGGTTTGGCGGGCAGCAATGGTGTTCAAGTGTCTTTTATTGTTATATTACAAAAAAGCAGAGGCCAAAATTATTTGTCCTATCGGCCAAACTCCCTTATTTTCTTGTGACTTTTCTCAAAACAGAGTATTGAGTTATATTTTTGTGTCTGTCAATGTTTTGTTTGCTATTATTTCTGACTATAGGAAATACCTACTTCTTCCGGGGTCAAATGCCAACATTGGTGGAGTATATGTTGCTTCTTTACCATGCCTTATTGCCAACTGCACTCCGGTACCGTTTCTTCTAGAACAAAGAATATGGAAGTCTCTTTTCATCACTAATGACAAAATTGTATTTAACCTTCAAGCTCGTGTCTGTTGTTGAAAAGGTGAGGGTTTTGTCTTATTTTTTTCCCCTTGCAAAATTGGTAATATACGTTTCCATGTTCCCTATATCTTTCTAGTCTCTCGTGAAGGTTGGGTTTCTGGTAAGAGTGGTGTTTTTACCAATGTGTACTTTTCTTTTTCCCTCTCCATTTCTTTCTTGGGATATTGTCAAGTGCAATCCTTCTTTGCTGTACTGAAAGCTTTATCGCGTAAGGAAGTGCACTATGGAGCATATTGGACATCTGAGCAGGTAATTGGATTTAGTTTTGCATAGAGTTTGCTAACAAACTTGCCGTGGCTTGAGACACACACGTGCAAGATCATCACATATGAATCAACAATGTCATATCTTTTATAGTAATTTTCTTGTTTAGAATTTGTTGAACTTCTAATTATCGTCTAGATGTTCTGAGGAACCTGTGCTGCCTAGACTTGTGTACGTTATTTCTATTTGCCTTATTTCTTTTGAAGATATTTTATCCATGTTTTTATAGGGAAAACTTGTGTGTTCGTTCTATATGCCTTCTTTCTTTGGAAGATTTTTTAATTAGTTTTTGTTCAGGGAAATTTTATTTTTATGTAATGCAATTTTAACCTATCAGTTGTCAAAAACAGGTGAATACAGCTGGTGATCTATGCACTATATGGCAAGAGAAGATGCACGCTCCTATCCTACTTCGTTGCAAGCTCATTTTCTGTGAGGACTGTGTTTCAGAATGGTCAGTTTATTGTCTGTTATCTAGACAATGTTCTGTTTTCCATTCTTGGAAAACTCTTTCTGCAATTACCTTTAGTTGCACTTTCTGCCTATTACATAATTACATTGAGGTTTAATATGTAGTTGTTCATAGTTCCTATTTAATTGAATTATTTTTGTGTGGTTATTTTGAGGTTTACGTCTCAAAAATGCCTCGAGGCTTACGCCTCGCCTTGCAGAGGCAAATCATTGACACCTCTTAAATATTGACACCTCATTAGAGTTTTATTTTAAAAAGGTTAAATATTGACACCTCATTAGAATTTTATTTTAAAAAGGTTAAATATTGACACCTCATTAAAATTTTATGTGGACATTTTATATTATTTGTTTCCGGGAGCAGGGTGCTGTGATGGATTCAACCCTTTTGTTTCCCCATGTATATGTTAAGATTTATTTTAAAAAGGTTATAGCACTCCTTTTGATGTTGGGCACAAGATAAAGAGAGAAGAGTTGGAATCTAAATAGAGAAGACATAATCATAAAAAGAAAGGGAACCAATAGAGAGAGAAACAGAACCAGAAAGAGAGACTAGAGGATTAAGAGAGAGAACAAGAACACAAGATGGAAGTAGAAATCTCAAAATTTTATTAATCAACCAAAAACTCTCTTTTGAAATTATAATTACTATGACGTTTATAGAAATCTATAAAACTAATAATGTAAACTTTAAGTAAATATTCTAAATAATCCAAAGGGATAAAAAATTATCTCAAATAATCTTAAAAGATAAACTTAATGTCAAAATCAAAAGTAAATATTGAAATTAACTAAATCCTAATATCCTAAATCTTAAAAGATAAACATAACTTCAAAATCAAAATTAAACATTGAAATCAACTAAATCCTAATATCCTATATACTTATTCCTCATCACCTTTGATATTACCCTTTTTCTTGCAATCATGGCAAGTTCCGTGTTTTCCATGTTTTGTTTGTTGTTGTGGTTTTGTTTTTGAGTTTTTGGCTGATTGATGGACATATTCTCTTTGATTCAAGAGGGAACGGACATGTCCTTTGTGCAGGGTTTTGGAATGAAAATTTCCTCTTTTTTTTTTGTCCTTCCAATAGCTTTAACAAGTTGTCTTTGAATGGACTAAAATGCTGGTTTTTGGTTTAATCTTGGATGTTACTATAAACATTCGAACGTTTTTGTTTGACCCATAGAAGACACAAGAATATAAATATTTAAAATTTGTTATGTGATGTCCGCCATTTAAGATTCATTATTTAACATGCTACTTATGACTTGTAAGGCAATAAAAACGCGGGACAACTTGAATTCATTCTGCAATGACCATGAATTGACTTGGTTGTAATTATGTTAGAATACTCCTTCCTAACAACATAGTCCAATCATTGTTTACTCATCATTTATTTTATTGAAAATAAAAATAATTAAATTCTATTTTTATAGTGGAATTCAAGAACTCAACAGTAGTCTTTAAATAAAAAATTTAATTCTCATCTTGGGCCTCACACGTGTGAGGCAGATCTCTCAAATATCTTTTGCCTATCTGTAATTCTTCGTCAATTGCAGTCTAAATACAATCCAGTTGAGTCCGTTTTCTCCATTAAATCTTGGTTAGATTTGTTTTCTTTCCTATTATTGCTCTGGCTCTTAACCTGAACTTTTGATTTCTAAAAACTTCCAGGGTTGCAAAAACCAGAATGGGGTATGGTGCTGAAACACTTGATTGAAAAGGGGGTGCATGTTTTTATTGAACTTATACAATGTCCTTTTCCTTATGTGAGTGAAGTCTTTCTTTAGGTGCCTCTTACTAACATCTTTTCCTTGTTATGAGTCAGACAAGTCATGTAGGTAACACGAGAATCGGCTCTATATCCTATTATCAAATTTTAGATGAATATGGTGTTCTCAATGTTTGTTCCTTTGGTTTTGTTTCAGTTTTTCAAAATTGGCTGCATTGTGTTTTCCTAGTTGATTTAACGTTTTCATTTTCATCTTGTGTCATTATTTTCCAGGCCAAGAAAAAGGAGGAGAGGACAAAGTGCTGGATAAAAGGAAAAGGTAGAAAGAGGAGAAAAAAAAACGTAAATGAAAAATAATAAAAAAAGTGAGGGAATGAAGAATGGAAAGAAAAGGAATAGAAGAATAAAATAAAGTTAAAAAGAAAGAGGAAGAAGAATAAAAAAAATGAAATTAACAAAAGAGTAGAGCGGAGAGCAAAAAAAAAAAGTGTGACAAAGGGGTAAGAAGTAGAAATGCGAAGCAGCAGCTGTGGAAAAAGGAGAGAGAGAGAGAGAGAGAGGGAGAGAGAGAAGCTGGACGTCAACATAAATTTGCTTCTTTATGCATGCCCATGTCGCGGTGGTGGACAAATCCAACCAAAGAAGGTATTTTTCTTTGTTATTGTGTCTGATAGTGTGCATTATGAGTTTCAATCGATTGCTAACACTTGTAAATAATGATATCTGAAGAATTTCAGAGAACCGGAATAGGGCTTTGAGGAAGAATATTATTCTTATTCTTGTTAAAAACGTACTATACAATCAAATATATATACACACTTTAGGGGATAACCACATCCGGTTGAATCCCTTAATTCTAGCAGACTAGATAACAAAATTAGGAAGCTACTTATCTAGTAATCAGAAAAATCAGGAAACTAATTAAATCCTCTATAAATAAGAAAACTAACAGGTGTACAAGATCAACCTATTTACACTGGATTTCCACACTCCCCTTCAAGTTAGAGAATGTATGTCAATCATTCCCAGCTTGGATAGAAGAATGTCAAATTGAGTTCTTGCAATGGCTTTGGTTAATATGTCTGCCGTTTGCTATCGCGTGGGCGTGTAGACAACTTCAACGATCCCATTGGCTATCTTTTCTTTGATAAAATGACGGTCTATTTCCACATGCTTGGTACCATCATGAAGGACTTGATTTTTTAAAATGCTGATGGCTGTCTGATTATCACACAACAGTTTCATAGGAGTCTTAATTGGAAGTTGTAGTTCCTCTAGGAGTCTTCTTAGCCACATCCCTTCACAAATTCCATAGGCTAGGGCCCTGAACTCAACTTCAGCACTACATGCAACTACTGATTGTTTTTTACTCCTCCAGCTGACCAAATTTCCCCACACAAAGGAACAATATCCGGAAGTTGACCGTCTATCAGATCTGCATCTGACAGAATCTCTATGCCCCTGTTGATTCCTTTCTTGAAGAATATACCTTTTGCCAGGAGACATCTTTAAGTACCTCCGAATCTTGTACACTGCTTCTTGATGCTCTTCATTCAGACTATTCATGAACTGACTAACTGCAAAATTGATGTCTGGTCTTGTGTGAGACAAGTAGATCAATTTGCCCATTAATCTTTGATATCTTCCTTTTATCTACTGGACCTGAGTCTCATTTAGTTTCAATTTTGTTGAATGGATCCATGGGAGTATCTGAAGGTTTGCAGCCAAGCATGCCTGTTTCCTTTAGTAAGTCCAGTGTGTATTTCCTCTGCAAGATTGAAATTCCTTTACTAGACCGTGCTACCTCCATTCCAAGAAAGTATTTTAGGACTCCGAGATCTTTAATTTCAAATTCTCGACTTAGAACCCCTTTTAGCTGAGTAATCCCTACCTTATTATCTCATGTGACAATTATATCATCAACATAGACAATAAGGATTGTGACCTTACCATCTGGAGTTCTCTTGATGAACAAGGTATGATCAGATTGTCCCTGTAAATACCCCTGCTTTTGAACTACCTTGGTGAACCTGTAAAATCAAGCTCTTGGAGATTGCGTGAGACCATACAGTGACTTCCGAAGCCTGCAAACCTGTTTGTAATCACTTGGCTTCTTGAGTCTGGGTGGGATCTCTATATATACTTCTTCTTCCAAATCTCCATTGAGGAATGCATTTTTAGCATCAAATTTGTGCAACTTTTAGTCAAGGTTGACAGCTAAAGAAAGTAGAACTCGGATGGAATTCATCTTTACAACTGGAGCGAAAGTTTCCTAATAGTCAATTCCATAGGTTTGTGTAAAGCCTTTTGCCACAAGTCTAGTCTTGTACTTGTTAATACTTTCATCTGCTTTGTATTTAACATTGAAAACCCACTTACATCCTATAACATGTTTTCCCTTAGGGAGTTGAGTGAGTTTCCACGTGTCATTCTTCTGCAAGATTCTTAGCTCTTCATTTACTGTTTTTCTCCATTCTGGATGTAGTAGTGCCTCTTGAATGTCTCTTGGCGTCTGGATGCTGTCTAGATTTGTGGTAAAGGCCCTGTAACTCGGAGATAACTTCTCATATGACACAAAGTATGAGATAAGATATTGAGTGCACGATTTAATCCATTTCCTTTGAGCAATTGGCTTGCTAAGATCATTAGGCTAGCACACATCATTAAAAGAGGAATAGGGTTCAGTGTTACCTTGTATCACTTCATTTGGAGTTGAACTCGGTTGTTTGCTTGGCAAGGCGTAGGAGTCTCAGGATGCTCTACTAGTTTAGCGGTTGTCTTACGTCTGGTGTAGACTAGGAGTTCCTTCCCAGCCACGGGTTTAAGAGGAAGATCACTCACGGGTTCTTTCTCAGGTTCTTCTAACATCATACTATCCCAAAACTGATATTCTTCTTGTAGTTTCTCTCCCTGAATAGATGTTTTAGAATAATATGGGACATTCTCCATGAAAGTCACATCCATATGTTATATGTTTTCCTAGTAGATGGGCAATAACACTTTTGATGAGGTGAGTACCCTAGGAACAAACACTTGACATACTTGGGATCAAGTTTGCTTCGTTGATGAGAAGGAATATGGACGTAGGCTAAACATATAAACACTTTGAGAGGTATAGTATTCACCACCCTTCTTTGTGGGAAGAGTTTAAGAAGAAATTTGGCATGGTGTATCAAATCCCAATATTCGAGATGGCATCCTATTAATCAGATAGGTGGCAATTAAAACTGCTTCCCCCCAAAAATGTTTTGGCACATTGCTGACAAATAGGATAGAACGGGCTACCTCAAGGTGTCGGCACTTCCTTTCTACTATTCCATTTTGTTGGGGGGGCTTTGATGGATAATGCCATTCTGTCCAATTTCTGCGTCCATGGTCTTGACTAACTAAAGACAATCATATTGTTTTCTGCTTTCTAGATTTTGTACTTAGGGTCATTCGGTTTTGGTGAAACAGCCACTCCCGTGAGATAATCATCTTTCCCTTTGCTTGAGATGAACATCATTACAGACTTGGCCCATTGAAGATAATTGTAGGTTTTGAGAAAAAACTTATTTTCTCTCTTATTTCAATCATGGTAGCATACATTTTATTTATATGATACATTGTACCCTTGATAGGACAGCTCACAAACATCTAACAAAACCAGAAACTATCTAAATCCGGAAACTAACTAAAGAGAATCCGGAAACTACCCTATTTCCTAGGAACCTTACCCCAAACTAAGGGATTCGGTCCTTTTATTCAAAAATAGAAAAAGTAAACTAGAAAACAGGAAAGTAAACAATTTTATTCTCTATTAGGAAATAAAATCTTCTATTTTCTGACACTCCCTCTCAAGTTGGCGCATAGATATCATGCAAACCTAACTTGTTAACAAGGAAGTCAAATGATGACTTGAACAGTCCCTTTGTGAGGATTTCTGCTGTTTGTTGTGTCGTTGGAACAATTGGCATACAGATCATTCCTCCCTCAAGCGTCTCCTTGATGAAATGTCGATCAATTTCAACATGTTTAGTTTAATCGTGTTGCACAGGGTTGTTGGCTATGCTGGTTGCAGTTTCGTTGTCACAGTATAACTTCATAGGGGCTTCTATAGGCAACTTTAACTCAGTCAATATCCGTTGTAGCCATAATAGTTCACAAACTCCATTGGCGTCTATATTATGTCTCAGCACTGCTTCTTGCTACTATACTATGATGATTGTAGTTTCGTTGTCACAGTATAACTTCATAGGGGTTTTTATAGGCAACTTTAACTCAGTCAATATCTGTTGTAGCCATAATAGTTCACAAACTCCGTTGGCCATTGTTCTATATTCTGTCTCAGCACTGCTTCTTGCTACTATACTTTGCTTCTTACTTCTCCAAGTGACTAAATTACCCCACACATAGGAACACTATCCTGTTGTTGATCTCCGATCAGTGGAGGATCCTGCCCAATCCGCATCGGTGTATATTTCAATCCCATGTTGAGTGTTCTTTTTGAAAAAAAATGCCTTTCCTTGGAGAATTCTTCAAGTACCTTAGAATACAATAGGTAGCTTCTAAGGGTGCCTTCTTTGGTGAGTGCATAAACTAACTAACGAGACTAACTGCAAAGGCTATGTCTGGCCGAGTATGAGATAAGTAGATCAGTTTGCCAACCAACTTCTGATATCTTGTTGTATCCAGCGGATCTCCTTCTTTACTGTTGCCTAGCTTAACATTGGGATCCATTGGTGTATTTACCGGTTTGCACCCACCCATACCTGTCTCATTCAGCAGATCTAAAACATACTTCCGTTGACTTACAACAATAACTTTCTTTGATCTTGCTACCTCCATTCCTAAGAAATATTGAGGGGGCCCAAGTCTTTGATCTCAAATTCTGTAGCTAAGTTCTTTAAGCGGCGCATCTCTTCCGAGTCATTGCCTGTCAAGATAATGTCATCAACATAGACAATTAGGACAGTAATTCTTCCACTTGATAAGTGCCTAAAGAACATTGTGTGATCAGTTTGAGCGTGTGTGTAACTCTGCTTTTTTACTAAACAAGTAAATTCCACGCCCGTGGTGATTGTTTCAATCCATAGAGTGACATTATCAATCTGCACACTTTTGAGCCAAATTTTCTTTCAAAACCAGGTGGGGTATCCATGTACACCTCTTCTTCCAAATCTCCGTTTAAGAATGCATTCTTGACATCTAGTTGTTGTAGTGGCCAGTCCAGGTTGGCTGCTAATGAAAGAAGCACTCTTACAGTATTAAGTTTTGCTACTGGAGCAAAGGTCTCCATGTAATCAATTATTCCATACGTTTAAGTGAAGCCCTTAGCTACCAACCGGGCTTTATATCTTTCCAGAGATCCATTTGATTTGTACTTTACAGTGAACACCCATTTGCATCCTACAGTCTTTTTGTCCTTTGGTAGGTCCACCATCTCCCACGTTTTGTTCTTCTCAAGCGCTCCCATTCGGGAACCTGTAAAGCATCTTGAACATTCTTTGGAATTTCCACAAGTGAGAGTTGATTAGTAAAGAAAGAGCAAAACTGGGGACAAATTTTCATAGGACACAAATTTTGACATTGGATGATTAATACATGACCTAACCCCCTTTCCGGAGAGCAATTGGAATATTAAGGTCATAATTGGAGAGTTTTGG